AGACAGGCTGTGGGTGAGGGGTCACAGTGTGCTAGGTGCTCTAAGACACGGTCTCTCTCCCTCTAAAGTGGGAGAGTCAAGCACTATTCTATGCCCTGCCTGGGGTTGTTCCAAAGGTTATATGAGGCGATGGCAATGGCTATCAGAGTAGGCCTCAGTATAAGCATAGAATTGAATGTTCACACAGACTGAAATCACGGCCAGTGAACTCAGAACAACCGCTTGTCTAGGCAGCCTAGCACGGACTCAGAATGAGGGTAGAGGACAAAACCAGATTACCTCAAAATGTCCCCTAGCCCCAGAACCCTCAGCAGATGCTGTTTCCCTCCCTTGAGTCTATGTGTGAGAATGCACACTCTGATGAGGGGTGTCTCCCTCTCTTCTGATTTTTGTATTACATCCCCTCTAAACAGGATTGAACTAGACACAGAGAGAGCCCCCAGAACCTGAAAACACCTGCCTGATTCCCCCGGAAAGCAAACCACTCACTTTACTTTCAGATTTCAGTTGGCCTCTCTGGTCCGGATGGTGCTTCTTGGGGATATTTATGCCCAGACAGAACTGTTCACTGGAGGTGAGCATTTCTTCATCTTGGTCACATGAGGTCATGGGGAGATGCTTTCTGTGGATGGTAGAAGGTACTCAGAGGTACCTCCTCTCTGATATGTTCAGAACAGGTCTGCTGCCTGGCTTGTGAGTGGGACCACTTCCCACAAAGTTGAGACGAAGCCCACAGAAGACCCACAGCTGGGGGTTTTCTGAGAGAAGCCAGCCAGCTATTACCTCCATTCACTCTTGGGGCACAGCCTCTGTGTGTGGTCCTTCCCTTTAGTGGCTTAAAATGGTTACTTGGCTGGTGACCATTGAAACCACAGGCTCTGGGAGTGTAGAGGACAGGGGACTAAGGAGAATGATAGAATTGTATGGTGTGGCTGGGCAGTGGTGGCACATATCTTTAATCCCAGCACTCAGGAGGTCGAGGCAGGCGGATCTTTGTGAGTTCGAGGCCAGCCTGGTCTATAGAGAGAGAGAGTTCAGGACAGCCAGGGCCACACAGAGAAACCCTGTCTTGAAAAACAAACAAACAAAAAACCAAAACAATAACAACAACAACAACAAAAATAGAGCCTGTCTGGGATGCTGTCCTTCTCACCAACAGCCTCTCTCCCAATGATGCCCATCTTGTCCTCCACCAGGTCAGACCAGGTGAATCTGAAGTGCAATTCATCTCTTTTAAACTAAACCCCTTGTATCTCTGCCATTTTGAAGTATTATGGGCTACATTTGCTGAATTTTGCTTGGCAGCTGTATGAATACCTAATGAAGCCCTGAGCTTACTTTCTTCTGCGAACCAATTCTCCCCATTTCTGTCAACTATTCTGTGGTGAGTATGTCCTCCAGATTCAGGATATTCTTGCCTTGAGCACACTAGTTTCTAAAATGCCTACCCTGTAGGGTCTGATTCCTAGGATGATACATCATTTTACAATGGTGTCTATAACTTTTTATAAAGAATTAAGATGTATGTGGGTCTTGCAACTGGTTCACCACTGAGACAGGGTACTGTGAACTCTGATGCTGACAGTTATATCTGACCAGCAGCTCCTGGAGTGCTTCCTAGTGACGGCTGACACACCTTGACTTTCCATTCACGTAGTAATGTCCTTGAGACTTCAAATCTTCCCAGCCTTGATGGCAATTCTGAGAGAATGAGCACTCCATGTTCTCAACAAAAACATTTTCTGGCACCCTCCTAACAGAGACCTAAGGCTTGAACGTGACTTGCTTGGGTTATAGTCACTTCTGGCTGCTCAGATAGCAGCAGTTCCATATCTCTTGCCCCAAGAACTCTGCATTCTCTGCTAAGTTAATACGGCTGAGGCTGTAGCAATGAATTAGCAGATATAGAACAGAACCAGGCCCCAGAGACATATAAAAGAGAGGAAAGAGACACCAAAGACTGAAATCACTTCCTAGTGTTTCCTCTCATCCTTTCTGAGTGGTTTCTTGGTTGACACCACCGCATGTTTCCCTGGAGACCCATCGGGACTCACCAAGGGCTCCTGCTCTCCAGCAGCAACTGAGCACTGAATGTGGTACCAAACAGTCCACTCAACAGTTGTCTGACAGAACCAGCCAGCAACTGGCATAGCCCAGGGTCAGAGCCACCAGGGTCCAAGACAGAAGAAGTGATAATTTATTAGCATTTTATAGGAGAGAAATGGACTAAAATGTTAGTATGAGGTCCAAAATGTAGCAGTAAGCTAGTGACAGAGTCAAGTTTAAAATCCGGTTTTGTCTACTTCTGATTCTAAACTGTCTAAACCACGCATATAAAATAATACATAACCATCTTATAGCTGTGTATCTCATTTATATTTATAGATGTACATGTTTTGTTTTACACTTGGAGAAGGCTTTATTTCACTAGTATCCTCTAATTTGATTCTCACTCGCCTCTTTTTTTTTTTTTGTTTTTTTGTTTTTTTTTTTTCGAGACAGGGTTTCTCTGTATTGTTTTGGAGGCTATCGGTCCAGCCCAGCCTCAAACTCACAGAGATCCGCCTGCCTCTGCCTCCTGAGTGCTGGGATTAAAGGCGTGCGCCACCACCGCCCAGCTATCACTCGCCTCTTTTTTGACAGGTAAAGAAACTGAGGTTTAATCACACCAATATGTCAGCCTCTGCATCAGATGCCAGTCTTCTGGCCCTGTTTGAGCCCAGCAGTTTGCCGAGTCCTTCCTCAGGATCCCTGTGGGATGGAATTCACTTCATCCTGTCCTTCTTTGATATCTTAACAAAGATGTCACACAGGTTTGGATGAGTCTGCCGACAAGGTGAAGTACAAGATGACAACATGAATTATAACCAGTGAGCCAGTTCCTTCAGGTACCCTAAGATCAGGTGGGTCAGGGGCAAAGTGCTGGGATAAACAGGGTAGAGAACTATGCTCTTGGTTGCTAGGAAAACAGGCTCACTCAAAGATGCTGTCCTCTGTCCATCATCCCCTCTGGCCACACAGTTTGACTTTTATGCTGCTCTCAATATGCCTTTTTATAAAACCACAATCTTTAAACACAAAAATAAGTGTGAAAAAGATCATTCTTCCTCTTCCACAACAGCCTGTAGTTTTGAGTTGAGGATTCGGAAGGCAATGGATACTTATTCAGCATCTGTGGTGTGCTGGGGACCTGACATGGTTCACCCCATTTACTGTGCTCCACTTGAGAGGAATTGAGGCTCATGGAGGTTATATATCATAACTTGTCCCATACAGAGTTGACATCGTGGCCTACTGGCTACAAGGCATTACATAACTTGTCCCATACAGAGTTGACATCGTGGCCTACTGGCTATAAGGCATTACATAACTTGTCCCATACAGAGTTGACATCGTGGCCTACTGGCTATAAGGCATTACATAACTTGTCCCATACAGAGTTGACATCGTGGCCTACTGGCTATAAGGCATTACATAACTTGTCCCATACAGAGTTGACATCGTGGCCTACTGGCTATAAGGCATTACACTAAGTGTGCATGTCTTCTTGGCAGTGGTCAGGCTCAGCTCCTAAGCTCTTTGGTTTCAGGGACTCTAACCTGTCACAATCAATCACTGCTGAGGAGTTAGCCTTTTTGCCAAAAATAGCTTTGCAGGTCATGACTGAATACTAGCAGGAAGCTTACCTGCACTCATGGTCCTGAGAAAATCAGACCCAGGATGGGAATTTACCAAATATAGAACAATACTTGAGTCCTAAGCTCAGAGCTTGAGAATGAGACCAGCAGATTCGGGATTTACCTAGGTCATATATCCACTTTGTGGTAAATCCGGGACCAGCACTGTGTGTCTTGCTTAGAATGAAGGATGAGAATTTAGCTTGGCAGTCATGAAATGCATGGTTATAGATAGAATGATAAAACTCTCATGAGTCCTGCTGATACAGTCAGGATTCAAAGGGCGAAAAGTAAAAGCTACATACAGGCAGTGGACAAAAAGGAACCAGAATGTGAAACCCCAGATCTGGGGTGGGCTAAAAAGACTCAGTAAATGACTTCCACATACAGTTGGAAGCCAAATGCAAGCCACCAAGGTTGCAGTGAACACTGAACAATTATAACACAAATATTTGTGGGCAGCTGTGGGAGTGCAAGCCACCTGCTCCAAGTTTACAGCTTTGTTAAACTTGGTAAACATTAAAAATGCAATGGGAACGCCCCTGATCTGCGCAGCATCCCACGCCCGTTCTGAGGGGCCTTGCTTGGGGACCGGCGTGATTTTGCCCTTGACTAGGCCCTTCTAGTATGGTTCAGCATTGCCTTTGGTTAGTACATCAGTATTGCCAAACAGTCTGCAGGAGAGATAGAGGGAGGTGGTTTGAAGGGTCACAGGATCTGGAATACAATTTCCCTCTTATTGTCCAGACAGACAAAACAGATCCAGCAATGATGTGTCAAAGCTATATAGGTAAGATCCAAAATGACTGGGTCTCTGAACTTTGGGACTTTCCCCTAGTGCTTCTTCTTCTAAAGTCCCATGGGTCTGTAGATAATGATGAAAAGAGGAGCCACAACACTCTAGAACGTTATAGCTGAGAGACATGGGTTTCAACTGCAAGGCTTTTGATGGTCACATGACAAATGGCACTATTGATATTTAGTGGGCAGGTAGGGGCCAAGGATGCTAAACAGCTTGTCATGAGATTATATGGCCTAGTGAAGAACTGACTTGCTCAAACACCAAGAGTACCCTTGTTGAGAAATATTTTGTCTGTTGTTTGACTTTGCTGTTGAATGCAAGCATGGAGGTAGTCAGGGTCCTGAGTAGCGATTTCCCCCAAAGGAAATCCTTCTACTCTATGCTATTTATCCCATACCACCTCCTTCAGCCCCAGAGAATGAGCAGCAACCATGTTGCCTTCAGTAAAAGGGGGACTCCAGCCCCCTCTTCACGCAGCTCCTGTCCACACGGTCCTAAGCTATTTCCAGCTTGGCACTTACTTGGACTTTAGGCCTTCCTGCCCGTAGGGCTGCAGCAGATACTGGTGCACCAGCTTGTCCCTGAGCGTCCCAGCCAGTTTGATTTTCTTTCTTGATCGATGTAGGTTGATGATGAAAAGTGTAATAGAGCCACGGACATAGTTGTGGCTGAGAGAGAGAGAGAGAGAGAGAGAGAGAGAGAGAGAGAGAGAGAGAGAGAGAGAGAGAGAGAGAGAGAGAGAGAGATGGGGGGTGGGGAAGTGGGGGGAAGATGAGATAAAGCAGTCAATTAGATGGTCCTAATAATTTATAGGCTGTACAAAACAGGATCACCCCAGAAAGTGCCTTGTTTTATGGATAGTCCCAATAGACTTTCAAGATGAGAATCCCTGGTTATTGCTGTTTCCTGAAAAGACAGTGCCTACCCTTCACCCCATTGTGTTTGTTTAAATTTACTGGAACTATTTTAGAAACAAATATGTATATACCCAGTATTAAAATAAAATATGATGACTGTAGAAAAAGAAAAATATCTAGGAAAACATTAAGAATAAAAGAAAATGTCCATAGTTATATAATCTTGAAATAGTACAACATTTTGGTCAACACACAGTATTTTTACTTCTTAGCTTGAGAATTATGTATTAAGTACTTTGACACAAGGGACTACATCACTCAGTTTTTATATAACTAGGATCAAACCGTCTACATAGCCTTTTCCAGCTAATGTATATATTACACATGGTCTTGTGCTATTACAGTTTCTTTCACTATAGTTTCTTTTCCAATCATAGAAATGCAACGTAATTTACTCAGCCAGTCCACTATTTTTGTGAATTCCTGTTGTTTTCACTTTTTTGGGCATTATAAATTATGCCACAAAGCCTTAATTTTACACAAGCTTTTTATGAATAGTGATTATTTCTGGTGATAAAAGTTCTAGGAGTTGGAACCACTATGTCAAGGCATGTGTGCACTGTATGACTCCTCATCAGATTTCCATTTTCTGTGGTGTTCCGCCCTGCGAGAAGAGTTCTATCCTTGGGCAATTGCGCTCTAAAGTAATTTCATGTCTGTTTTGTCCAGTGCAATGTGAGTGGGCATGTTAAGACCTTTGTGTGGACGCTGTGGGATGTTCATGTGATGACACACTTAGTTCCTTATGCTAGGAGAAGAATGGCAGGATCTTGTTGTTCAGTTTTTATTTTGGGGCACAACTGCTTCCTATATAGCCCAGGCTATCACTGAATTATGATCATTTTGCTCACATCATGCTTAGTGACAATGGTGGTCACTAAGGCTATTGGCCTGGGGACTGAATTAAGACACAAAGTAGAGCCACAGTTGAGCCAAGGTGGATAAGAAGTGTGAACAAGAAACATTTCTTACTGGAAGCCATTTAGATTTAGGTGTTCTGAAAAAGATTGTTTTTGGTTCTGGGGCTCAAACTCAGATAATAACCATTGATCGCAAATGCCCTTACTCACCGAGGCATGTCAATGGTCTTGGGTCGTGCTCTATTCTTTTTAAACCATGGCATAACAGCACTTACTCTGATAAATGCACACATTTCGATAGTACTGGTGTTATTTAGACAGTTTGCAATGCTTTGCCTCTGCCTGCTCTATATTAAGAGTGCCCATTTCATCACACTCCTAAGAGCACTGGATACGAATTTTTTAATACAGTTTTATACCAGAAGAAAGTGGGGTGGTGATGTTGTATTTTATATTCTTGTTCACACTGAAGTACAATATTCTCTCATTTGCCCAGTTGCCACTTCTGTTTTTCTTTTGTTAGATGCCTAAAACTATTCACCATTTTAGAATCCTTTTATCCCTTCTACGCAGGGTGCATAGAACCACAGGAGAACACGTGTTGACATGCAAGGGGGCTTTCAGTGTGTATCAGCAAAGCTATAATGACTTTCCTCTCAGTAGGAAAAAGACCTTGTTTCTAAGGGGTCTCTTGGGACCCCATCTGGATGAGTTAATGAGAGGAAACAGAAAAAATGACCCAGCTCAGCCTTCAAAAGAGGGGCTCAGAGAAACTCTAAGACAGCTTAGAGGAAAACACTGCTTTCAGACATGCAGCCCTTTGATCCCTGGGTTACTAGTCTCTGCTCCTCCAGAGGCCGATTGAGAGCTGAGCAGTCAAGGGAAGGTCAGCAGGATAACTTGGGGGCTTTAAAGTACAGATTTTGGGGTTCTATTCATTTAGGGTCAAGGCCTGGGAATCTGTATTAAAAGCTTGCCAAGCTATTTGACTGATGGTTGGGTTTAGGAACGTCTAACTTAGAACAAAGCATGAAGGTCATGAGAAGGACTCCCAGACTATCCCCCTGACTGTGTATCAGATGTTTTTTTCCCTTACCTCTGTAAGAATGTACACTGTCGTGTTCAAAACTTGGAGGTCTGAAATTGTTCTGATAAGCCATTAAATGGCTCCCTATGCACTCCTTCTTCCTCCATTCCACTCGAAGCCCCTGCAGTATGTAAATTAACTCCTGCAGCCAAATGATTCCGAAGAGAACGTCAACTGGTTTGAGCAGAGGCCTGTGACTAGAGCTCTGAAGGAGAATGCTGGCGGCTTGTGTGGACAGTGACCCCCACTGAAGAGCCATCAGCGCGTTTCGATCAGTGGGACTTCAGCTTAGCTTAGTTACGTACAAAATGGATGAAGACAGCATTAACTGCAGGTACTCTGGGCTTCAGGGTGTGCACAAAATAGGCATGGGTGGTATTGATTTGGCCAGACCACAGTAAACTCTTTTGCAAGCTACCATAAACAATAGTTTTAAAGGTCAGCGGTGGAGGAGGAGAACAGCACGTGCTCGCATTTACGAGTTTCTCCTTGGCAGGCTGGGGCAGAATGTGCCCTTGGAGACTGCAGGAAGAAGGCTGGGACGTGAGGACCTAGTGGCTTGGAGGGAGACCTGAAATGGCAGTGGTGCTGGAGGGAAAGCTGTCTTTCCAAGCTGCTTGGCAATGGTTTGCTTTCTGCGTCCATAGTTCTCCTGGGAGAGATAAACCAGTGCAGCCCAGAGACTTGACTGAACAGGTTCTCACAGAACTCATGAACCTCCTTAGGTAGGAACTGGTGATGAAGACTGCCCTAAGCATACATCACCCTACTTGGCTGATGGGCAAGGGCACGAAGCAGACGCCTTTTGACTTCAAAGACACATTCTTGGGTAGGGGCTTCCACATCGACCTAGAGTACCATGGAGAGAATTCAGATTTCTGAGGAATGCATATTCTCTGTCCACAAGAATCCAATCCTGAAGGAGTATGAATTCTGTTAGAAAACCGTGTCTGGGGGCTTGGTCAGCTTGCCATTTTTAATGCCTGATGTCAAGTTCTGGTGCCTTTTGGTTATCTTAGTGGATGCCCCTTTCTGGAAAGAAGCTGTTTCGGTGGAATGTCTACCCTACTCTGTGCCTCCCTGTGGTGAGACATTTTCACCAGCGGCCAAGCCATGTATCTGGAGTTCATCTCTCCTGGCTGCTCTTTTCCTGCCTGACATCTTCTCTCTGTTGCCATGGGAGGAGGAGGAAGTGAGTCAGAGAAGGGATGTTGGAATGGGAAGATCCTGGATGTAAGAGGTGGGAGATGTCAGATGGGAGGTGTGTCTTGAGTTCCAGATAGAAAACAGTCATGTTCTAGAAACATCTCCAGTGAAGTGGGGTGTCTGGGAAAGGGAAGGGAGGGCGACGCACTTCAGCCATAGATCATTCCCAGCGAAAGTTAATGTGCTTGAAAACTCAGTCGGTCCATTCTCTCCAAATCTAATTCAAAGGTTGGGGTTTGGTAAAAGTCAGGTCCTGTTTGCCAAACATTTTTCCCCTTAATTTCAAAGCCCCTGTGTATTTTAAGGGAAATTTAATCCACATGTTTCTGATTCATTTACACTTAACTCATCAAAATATTGTTTTGTAAGAGTCATTTGATGTCCAAGAAGCCTCAGGAACCTTTTTTATGAGCCTTTAAAAAAACTTCTTCTGAAAAACAGGAAGTCATATTTTGCCAATAATAAATGAATTTGAACCCCAAAAGGCTCACTTTTGCTTCAACATCCACTAGGTTCCAGTTGGTTCTGAGTGTGGCTGAGGACCTCAGCTCCACCCCAGAAATACGCATAGCCTTAGCATAATGGCCATACAAGAGTGTGGCTGTCAACACTTGATTGTGGGAAGTTCTGCCAGGGCTCTAGAACTGGTTAACTCCAGAAGAGGACGGAGGTGCTGGTCAGTGCTGGTGCAGTACCCAACCTCTCCTAATCAGTTTTAGGACATCAGGCTCTGCTAGGTCAGGAATAATCCACAATGCAACAGAGCCAGCCATAAAGGTGTCTGAATAGGTGACATGACTATCAGGAGATATACACATGGACTTTGGACTCCCATCCAACAATGTGAGATGCACTCTCACCCTGAACTCTTGGGGGAGGGTCTAGGCCCTGCCCTGGATGAAATGACAGACTATGGACACCCCCATGGAGGGCCTCACCCTCCCTGGGGAAATGAGAGGATATTGGGGGATTTGGGGGGACACGGGAGGAGGGGAGGGAAACGGAGAGGGAAAAAAAAAGGGATTTCCACACTCAGTGGGACACGAGTTTTCTTCAAATGAAGAGCTCTGCAACACAAAGGCTGCTATTCGCATATAGACCAGAATTTGAGATTGTGAGTACAAGCATTAGGAAGCGTCAGTTTCTCACCTAGGTCCTGGTTTGATCCAGGATACTTATTTCAGACTCATCAAGGTTGATTAGTCTGGAGCCAATATGTCCATTATGAGATGATGCTGTAATTCTGCCTTCTTTGGCCACAAGTAAACGGAGTCAGCCAGTAGTGTTGCTCCTAACTGGTAAGGACAGGAAGCACAGACGACAGGATGGCAGACGCTTCGCTTACCTTTGTGCCTTGTTATCTGGACACCTGACACTGTTTTGCAAGGAGACCTACAACCTCAGCTGGCTCAAAGTATCCATTCTTTGGGTTTGGAGGAATGAAAAAGACCTTTACCTTGGTTCTTATCATTATTGTAACATGGTTTATGAAAGTCTTCTTTCTTTTCATGAAGAGAAGGAGAGGTTATTTTTATAGAAGCCTGTTGGAACCCCTTCATTTCAAGAGGTTCTCATTGACTTCCAAAGAAGGTTGGGGACAGTAGAGGGGGAGGGCTTCAAATGCAGATTATTTTTACTAACTTGTTGAAGGCCTCATGATGGTGAGTGGTACAACTCTGAGTCACGTTATCATGCTCCCTGCTCTGGCTGATGGGGTGCACAAACCACCAGGAACATGTGCTTCCCGTTTTCTGTCTTCTTCCATTCATTCATTCATTTATATATCAAACACTTACAAGACCTTCATGCCTGTCACCATATTAGACACGAAGAATATAAATAGGATCATCGGCCCCAAGCTCATGGTACCCTCAGGGCGTAAGTGAGACCTCATGAGAATATCCAAGAATTCTGGTGTGAGTCCATGGGGAGCCTTCAGTGAGGACATAGAGATCCTTCTCAGCCCACATAGGTATTACTGTTTTATTCCTGGTTATAGGCTACTATTACAAAAGACTGGTGTGTTTTCCAATAGGGACAGAAGGTGCCAAGAGCAATTTTTCTCTCTTGAGGCTAGGGGTCCACCTTTTGGGTGGTTGCCTCAGGGCCTGTCATAGACAAGGAATACAATGTTGCCTTGTGTGAGGATCAGATAATTCCAGGCAAGGCCATAAAGCAGTCAGTCACTGTCAGGTATGGGCCTGAGCTTCCTGCTGAGCAAAAGGGTTGTTGAAAGCTTCTGGCCTGTGCCCAAGACAGCCTCCCCTCCCCTACAATAGGCACTTGTATGTACAGGCAAGACAACTGGCCCCTGGCGCCCACCTCTGCTCAGAGTGAGTCTTTGAAAGCATTTTATCAGGAGGAACTAAGGCTTGGCCTCTGTCTCATCAAGGACAGAGAAGGAGCATATGGTGTAATCTGACCACAGCAGCTCTTTGTGCTCCCTGGCCTTGATCAGGGCCTGATAGGCCCTGGATGGAGGTCTGTCAGGAGACAGGAGGTAGTCCTTTCACCCAGGTTTTCTCTGTAGTAAGAGAAAGAATCCTCCTTCCCAGGGTAACCTCCCCTGCCTTAAACAGGAAGTGATGTAAGACATAGTTGATCAGATGGTCTTTGCTTTAGATCCATTTGAAAATTTCCCCTCATGGTCTTCATGTTTTAAAATAAAAACAAAACAAAATAAAACAAAACATAAAAACAAACCTGCCAAACTTTGCTGATAATTAACTTCCCTATTTTAAAGAGAGCTGGGATGAAATCCAGTGCTTCAGGTCAAAAAGAGAAGAGTCATCTCTTAAAATCCCCGGGGTTCACGGGTAAGCACTGAGCTGAACTCAAGAAAGCCAGTGACAGAGAGAGAGGACTGATGAGCAAAGGGATTAAGACTGGGCTGGTTTAACCCCCAGAAACAGCTGACCTGGCAAGGGTTAGCTCTTGAATTCCAGGCTGATGCCTGGGGAATCCAGCATAGGACTGATCAAGACCCCCTGAATGTGGGTGTCAGTGAAGAGGCCTAGGCAATCTATTGAGTCTTGGGCAGTAGATCATTATTTATGCAGGTATACAAATGGACTTTAGACTCCCATCCAACAATGTGAGATGCACTCTCACCCTGAACTCTTGGGGGAGGGTCTAGGCCCTGACCTGGATGAAATGACAGACTATGCACACCCCCACGGAGGGCCTCACCCTCCCTGGGGAAATGAGGGGATATTGGGGGGGTTGGGGGAGGGCACGGGAGGAGGGGAGAGAAATGGAGAGGGACCTGGAACTGACTTGTGAAGCAACCTTGTTTCTAATTTAAACTTAAATTTAAAAATAAATAATAATAATAAAAAATCCCCGGGGTTATTATGCTTCCTGAACCCCTTTCCCTCAAAAGGAAGCCTACATTTCACAGCCCTTCAACACTTAAAACAGCTGAGATTCCTGAAATATGGGAAATGTCCCGGAAGTTAGCCTGCTTCCCACTGGGTACTCATTTAATTCCAGAGACCTGGTGGGATACTAGTGTAGGCCAGGAGCTCCTGTGTTAGATACGGCCACTTATTTTCTTAAGCTCTGCGGTGGGTCAGAGCATCAGACTTGGCCTCTTGTCTTGGCTCAGGCTTAGACACACACAAAATCTTTGTGGGCATTGTCTCAGCTGGCGCAGATAGAGTGCCCAATAAAAATGGGCTGCATGAGTAAGAGAATGAACAAATAGATGCATTTTACAAGCCCTTCCTGAGTAAATCCTGTATGAGAAGAAAGGCTTACTTGACAAAAGGCTACCAGGCATCCTTTGCAACCTGCAGAAAGAATGGTGACCACAGATGCAGTCTTCAGCTGAGATCTGTGAACACAGGTGAACTTGGAAGGGCTCCAGCAGCACAGCATTCTAAGCGGGGCTGCATGCCATTGGGTGGCAAGTTCACCTGCATTCACGGACCTTCTTCCTCTTTCCCTGTTGCTGGGAAACTTACTTGTGGTGGTTTGTGCAGTGAGCATAGATCCTTAGTTTGTCTCGGATGACTCTTCCCGGTCGTGGCTTCCGCTGGAGCCCAGCTACGTGCACTGCCAGGACTTTGGGGCCAATCAGACGCTTGTAAAGGAGAGAAAGCCAGTAGTCCTGCGGAGAACAGAGAGGTGGAGAGTCAGGGAGACAACTCACATTCAGGTGTGCTGACCAAACGTGACAAAACACAGGCCAGAAACTACTTCCTACCAGGAGGACAGTATGGCTGTGGGGGCAGGGGAGGCTGATAATGAAGACAGCAATTCCCAGCACAACCTTTCCACTGACTAAGCGGGCAAGGGTTAGGTGGCCTGGACTCAGAGCAGTGAATGCATAAATGAATCAAGTTTTTCACAAATGAGATAACCAGTTGGGGCTGGGGACTTCCATCTCCAGCTTTACTCCCCGTGGCAGCACCCTCATGCTGGTTTGTGGGCTCTGTGAAACTGTAGAATGGGGAACTTCTAATCCTTAGGATTGTCATCAATAATCAATGGATTATAAAATACCATTCTCCAAATATTGTTACTGAGGACTATTACAAAGCAGGAGGGAGATGAAGGTTCTCCAGAAAGAGTCCAGGCTGAGGTCTCCGTAGCAGAGCCGGAAAGACAAACAGAATAAAGTTTGCCCACAGTCCTAATTCCTGGTAATTTTCATATTCTACAGTAAGAAGAATGTTCCTAAACTGAGAAGAATGTATAATCAATTAATAAATACCCTTTGTGTAGCCAACTTATATGTCTGAGCTTACAAAAAAGTCTGCCTGCCTATCACCATCTTAATTTTAGTTGTATTTGCTGTTAGCACAAGTTGTATTTGTATCTGATACAACATAAAACGGACATTTGTATTGTGTAAACTCCTAATACTGACTGTTGTTTTATGAACTCAGTGCTTATAACTCACCCATGTAAAGCCCTGCTACAAATTCAGGGCATTCTCTTTAGTGTTAAAGACATCAAGTGTGCCTTCACTGTGTTCATCTTTCCAGGCAGTAGTCTCCTCTGTGTGTGTGATAAACTGTGTGATCATCTATAACATCACTGGTGAATTTTATAAATTAGAACAAATTTCTCAAAGAACCTTTGTCAACAGAATAGTTCCACATCTGCCCTAACAACAGGCTTTAAGCCCTGTCCATCTGTTCAACTCAATTATTTTTAGGTGGCCTTAGAATGACTATTAAATAAAGTCTCCTATAAGTTGGCTACTAATAGCTTAGCATGATATAATCTGTCTTCTGGTTGGAAATGCTTTATTTTGTAGAGATGAAAATGGGCTCAGAAAGCTCAAAGGTACATGTGAGGTCACAAAACTGGTCAGTAGTAGCCCACACAAAAAAACGGGGGTATATTTTCCTCTATCATTGGTGTAATACTTTACTCACTTGAGACATAGGAAGTCACATTATATAAAGGCACAAGGAAGCTTACAAGCAAACATTCTGTGGACATAGAGTCTGGAAGTGAGTCTTACTGGTAGTGCAGAGAGTGACTGTGATTTAGCTTATGATTGTACACCCTCAGAGCATTAAGAATAAAAGGAGGGGCCGGGCGGTGGTGGCGCACACATTTAATCCCAGCACTCAGGAGGCAGAGGCAGGCGGATCTCTGTGAGTTCGAGGCCGGGCTGGACCGATAGCCTCCGAAACAATACAGAGAAACCCTGTCTCGTAAAAACCAAAAAAAAAAAAAAAAAAAAAGAAAAAAGAATAAAAGGAGGGTGAGTGCACAATACACCCGTTTCTCCAATTCCAACCCAATTTGTTCCTTTCTAAAAATGACTTCATTCCAATGCCTTATCACTAACACTTGGCTTTTTATTTAGAAAATCTGAAAAAGCTAAACAGGTTTGCTCTCAGTTTTGCATTTAGGCATGACTATGGTTTTTGTGTCATGGCAATTCCAACTAAGGTTAGGCATATCTGTAGCAAAACAATTAACATTTAGGAATAGTATTGTGTTTAATCTCAAATTTTATGTAAAGTCAAAAATAAACTTCAGAAAGATCAACCTAAGTACTCTCCATCATTATTAAATAATTAATTTAAGTTTAGTAATATGAAGTAGTCTTTTGTGTTGTGGGTAGCTAAATGCCACAGCATCTCCAAGACTTTGAGGATATTGGCTGACTCTGAGGCTAAAAGATGATGACACTCATTCCTAATGACTACAACCTTTTCTTCAGCTTTTCTTACTGTGGCAAAATCCACATAAAAGCATGTACCTCAACCAGGTAGAAATGCATAGCTCAGCAGTTAAACACACTCACAATGTTATTTTACCATAGCCACTATCTGTCTCTGCAATTCTTTGCATGCCGTAAAACTGAAATCTGTACCCATTAATCTTTTTCCTGAAACCAGAACCCATTGAATTCTAACCCTTTCCCTCAGTCTCCTGCAGATCACTATTCTGTTTTCTGTGCATCTCATATAAATGAATTATACAGTATTTTTTCCTTGGATGACTGGCTTATTTCATTTAGCATAATACCCACAAGGCTCATCCATGTTGCATGTATTGGAATTACCGTTGGTTTAATAATGTTTCATCCTATGTACGTATTATCTTTGATTTAATTTGTGGACTCACATGTGGTCTGTCTTGAAAAATGTCTCAGGTGTAATGAGAATAATGTGTCTGCTGCTGTTGGGTAGAATTCTATTTGACCTAGTTGATTTATTACGGCTTTGGGCCTCCTGTTCCCTTACTGATCCTCACTTTGGATGCCCTCTCCATCACTGAAGTCTTCTGCTGTAACTGTAGACTTCTGTGTCTCTGTTCTGTTCTGCCAGTTTCCCCCTCACACCTTTATGGCCTGTTATCAACTGTGTGTATGTTCATAATACTTAAATATTGATGTTTTAAAATTTTATTTCCTTTGTACCTTGTAAGCTTTTACTTTGTAAGGTCAATTTTATCAGATATTAGTATAGCCACCTCTACTATTCTTGGTTATACTTGAATAGATTTATCTTTTTACAGTCTTTCTATCTGTTTGTACCTTTGCATCTAAAGTGATTCTCTTATGGACAGCATACAATTGGACTGCATGTTTACATTATAAATGTCCTTTTTGACAGTGCATTTTTTTAACTGCAGAGTTTAATTTACTTATATATAAAGCAATTATCCACAGGAAAAATTCAGATTTTTGCCCCTAATTTCCTACATTATGATTTTCCTTTGTGTTTTTTAATAGCAAAAGAAATTTAAATTCCTTTCTTATTGTCTTTTATAATACCACTAGGATTACATTTAACGTCCTAATGAAACACCAATACTAGCTTAACTTTAACAACATAAAAATTCTGTTCTTTTACTTATCAGATCTCATCTCAGTAGCAAATGCCACAAAATAACATTTTTATATACCACATGCCTAAGACATACCAATGAGTCTTTTTAAACATACTGTTCTCTTACAATATATAGTAACTAAATACAGGTTACCAATTCAAATTACAATAAGGTATGTTTTAATCAGTATTAAAATATATAGTCTCTTAAATCATATAAAAACAAAAAGCAGTTACAAATTGCTGTTATAATAATACCCATCTTTTTATCTCTGCTTAGCATGAAGTCATTCTTGTGACTTCCAGTTCTCATCTGGAAGAGAGATGGGGTAGACTCAGTGATAAAAATTCCCTCAGCTTTTCATTTATTTGGAAACATCATAATTTTCTCTAACTTTTGAAAGAAAGTTTTGATGAATATGGGGTTCATTGTCAAGCTACCTTTCCTTTTGCAGCTCTGAATATATCACCCCACTAACTACTGGACTTCAAAGGTTCTGACAAGAAGTCTGCTGGTAACCGTGCTGAGGAGTTTTTATTAGATAATGACTCATTTCCCTCCATGGCTTTCAAAATTCTTTTCTGGCTTTCAAAAGTTTGATTAGGATATAGGTTCATTTTTTGGCCTTAGTATATGTTCTTGAAGTTTTATATTTATGTCTTTCATCAATTTTTGGCAGTTTGTACTCATTATTTTATTGAATATTTTCTTAGCTCCTTTCCCTCTCCTTCCAGAACTCTCACAGTGAGTAGTACTTAGTTTCTATTAATCTTCAGTCTGATTTTCTTTATGGTCCTCACCATTCTTTATTTCCCACATTAGGTCTTTATGCTCAGTGACTCATCATTTGTTTACTCAAATCTGCCCTTGAACCTCTCTACCCAATGTATTGTTTCAGTCACTGTGTTTTTAGCCCCTGCTCTCCTTCTAGGCGGTCTATTGGTTGGTACTTCTATTTTGCTCACCTATCTAGTTCTAGACTTTCTTAAGGCCATATTCTAGGAGCTTTAAGACAGAGTCTTTAGTAGAAGTGCCATCAGGTCACCTTCAGCGACAGTTTCTATTTGCTTTTTAAACGAACCATCCATCACTGTTTCTTTTAGGCCTTGAGATTTTTGTTTTTGTTTCAAACTTGACATTTGAATCTAACAATGTGGCAGCTTCTAGAAATCACATTTTCTCCTTCCCATTACACTTCGTTAGTGTTGGTTGTTTAGGTTGTTTTAGGTTGTGTCTGTGCCAAGGACCATTGTACATGTAAACTTGTGGTTTTGCCAGCACTCCGCTCCCCACCACACACACATTTATGCTTTCCCCTGGTCATGTGTTGTATCTAGTTACTTTTACATGTTTATGTATTTACTATCTGGCTCCCAAAAATGGAAAAAGAAAAAGATGAAGGATGTAAATTAAAATGTCTTGACCTTTAAATCACCAGTAGTCATCTCAGCTGGAAAGGATTGACTTGCAGCAATGGGACAACAGTAGGTTTTTGGTTCTTTGTACCTGTGATCAGGAGTGACCAGCCTATCAGGGCAGAGATCACTGGTACTCTGATGACAGAGCCTTTCTAGTTCATTCTAGCTCCTGGAAGCTGATTTGTAAGCAGCCCCAGTACATGTGTACTGGACTAAAGGATGAAATGTAACAAAATTAGCTGAGCTTCAGCACTAAAGACTTCTAATTGAAGCTGTAAGTGTTCAGGATTCCAAGAGTTACCTTAGTCAGATTCTGCTAGTGCGCTTCCTGCCTAGGCAGGGAAACATTCTTGCTGTTACAATACTATCTTCCCAGATTCCTTTGTAGCCC